TTCAGTGGAGTATTTTCAGTGGCTGTGAGTTGTCCTGGGGTTAAATAATAAACACGGCAACAAAATACTGGTACGTTTTCCTAGTACAGGAGTCAGAGCCTCTATTGTCATCAGTTGTTAAGAAGTGTTATTCTTATCTGTAATCCCTGTCCTCCTATTTTATCCAGTTGCCTGTTCCCCAAATCGTTTGTGGGGAGCAGATGCTAACTGTATGTCATTAATTCTTACTATATATTGTTCTTTTGATATTCAGCAGTTGTCAACTTTTTGTGAAGTCCTGCTACAGAGAAATGAAAATTAGATGGCCAGTGCTATTCAGTTAAAGAGATTTCATTTCTTAGTTCTCCAAAACAGGGTATAAGCAAGCAGCTTTACTCGGATGAGCAACTACTTCGACTGAACCTGTGTCCTATACAAGTAAATACTTTATAATGAATTCTGTCTGTGAACTTTTGCCACCTAAGTGTTACATAGAATCATAGAACAGTTAGGGTTGGAAAGGACCTTAAGATCATCTAGTTCCAACCCCCCTGCCATGCGCAGGGACACCTCACACTAAACCATGTCACCCAAGGCTCTGTCCAACCTGGCCTTGAACACTGCCAGGGATGGAGCATTCACAACTTCCCTGGGCAACCCATTCCAGTGCCTCACCACCCTCACAGGAAAGAACTTCTTCCTTATATCCAGTCTAAACCTTCCCTGTTTAAGTTTTGATCCGTTACCCCTTGTCCTATCACTACAGCATCACTAATGCAAGGAGAAAAGCTGAACACCAAGAGGAATTCAAGTTTTAAAATGCTTTAAGAGTTTTAAAACTCTCTCATTACCTCTTTGAATTGCATGTTTCCTACCAGTAATCCTACCTGGAATTTTTCCTGTTAAATACAATGTTTTTTTCCAAGGCTGGCTTGTAAATCAGGACTATAATGGGACCCACTGAGACATTCACCATTTCTATGGGAAATTAGGAGGATAAGCATGTCCAGATTTAAAAGTACCTACAGAAAACTGCAAGGGGCTCTGACCAAAATCTGCTTCACAATGAGGCACATCCAGCTTGTATTAAAGAACTGTGCTCTGCAACTGAGTAGCAGCAATTCCTGCAGAGGTAAATGAACCTGTCCGTGGTGTCCTCAGCCCTGGTTTAACAACAGCACATGTGCTTGGCTATGCAAAGACAGAATTTGGCCTTTCACTACCATCACATGAAAACTGACTTCTGTGTGATAAATGAGGTGGTACAAAACCCAGCTGGAGCATGACTCGTGTTTAATTTTCCGGGTATAACTCAGCAAACTTCCGTCCACGAGGCTCCACGTGGCTTCTTTCATTAAACTGTACAGCATGTACCAAGCCCCCTGTCTTTAAGGTGACATTTCAAACCCCCGAAGAGGAGGGACAGTTGTCAGGGCTGTGATTAAAATAGAGCCTTGTTTGTTGGCATGACTTTTACTCAGCTCCTGAGTGATGCAGCAGTGAGCCCTGCCACCTCTCCTGAAATAAGATAATGCCTCAGATGGATGCACACAGAACATCCCAGTGGATGCTGTCAGCTCCCAGCCTGCCCTTGTTTGCACACGTCCTAGTTGGGCTAGTTGGCCAGCTTTCCATCATCCAGGCATGAGGACACTGAGGGTGCATGCAGGAGTCTCAGGTGGGTTGGTAGAGTCATTCCACATGTGAGGAAGCAAACGCAAAGATCTGGTACCACCTACAGCAAAGCACAGTGGTTTTACAGAAGCATAAGAGCAATAACCTGCGGTCCTAAGGCTGCATTTGCTTGTGCTCATGCAGTTCAATGCCTTTTGTGGGACCACAACGATTTGTAAGAAGCCCCAGGAGCTGATGTCCCATAGCATGTCCATCACTTGGCACAGCCCCACAGCCCGGGTAGTGAACTCAGCCCCAGATATAAATAGGGCTGAGCCAGTGTGGCTGAGCCCACATAAGCAGCTTTAATGCAACACCTGCTAATCACTGGCTCCTGGGTGAGACAGGCGCGCAGAGCTGCCCTGCCACGGTGGGTTTCCAGAGCTCATACTGGAAGAGAAGCCATCCTCTGACGTTACTGTCTCAAATGAAGCAAAAAGGATAAGGAGGAGCAGCTGTGGCCGTGTGTCAGGTTACGGTTAGGGTTAGACCTGGAAAGGTGCTCACGTGTTGGTAGGGGCAAGACAGAAAAGAGAGGAGCCTTGCAGTGGAAAATAAGACAATAAAATACTTCCATTATTTTCACAATCTTCTTGAAAAAGCCCTATAAGAAACTCCAAGAGCTGGCAAAACTGTCTAAATCCCCTAAAAGCAACAAGCCAGGGGGAAACCACTTGTGTCCCATGCCATGGGGTGTCTTATCCCTGGAGAGTGAGCTTAAAACACAGACTTCATTGCCGCTTTTCTTCAGACATACCTTTTCACTGAATGTCACTCTGACTTGGATAGCCTAATAGGGACGTGATACTTACCATGACCCAGCCCTCATCAGCTTGTAGTTGCCCAAGTGTCTCAGATCTTCTCTTTTATCTAGTCACATATCCCAACTGTTTCAACAGCTTCCTTGGGAAAGGCACAAGCTACAAAAACACCCTCTTCCTCCTAGCAATACATCCTCTACCTGTCGTCCCCTCCTTCTCTACATCCTCCAGAGCCCTGCCCGGTGGTTTTGGCTGGAGTGCCAGCAGACAAGACCTGTGACTCAGTGGCACTTCTCCTCTGAAGGTGAGAGCTGACAAGGGCTGGGTGAATGCCAGTGCTGGAACTGAGGCCGTCTCAGACCTGGCTGATCCACATTTCCCAGCTGGGTACGGATGACTGCATCTGCCCATCATCAGGTAGCCCTGCACAGTGAAAGGCTGGATGAAATATGTACAATGCAACTTAAATATTGCTTTAGAAATACATTAGGTGGTGAGGACGAGTAGGTTTTCTGCTGTTTGTAAGCAGGAAAATCCTTGGTTTGTAGAGTCCAGCTTGATACCAAGAGAGGATATTGCAGGAAAAGAAAAACCTGCTTTGTTAATGCTGGGTTTTGGTGACAGCAGCTCCTAGGTTGACTCAGTTCACCTTATCAGAGAGACTTTGACAAGTGTAAGATTTCATTCTTGTTATCAGTGGGGCAGTGTGTGCACACTGTGAATGGAGGATCTGCTTCCAGGCTCCAGTTTCTGCCGCTGCATGTGCCAGAGGGCTGTCAAACTGCAGGGGATTAAATATTAACATTTAATGCAGTGCATCCACTTTGTTCTAGATCAAATGGAAGCTCTTTCTTCCAGGAATGCAGTGGTTATGGTAAGCTGAACTAGGTGGGAGGTCAGGTAGGCACAGTACTGATAGTGAATAAAGCCTTCAGTTAAATTGATGCTGTGCTCCCATTTTGAGTAGGGTGAATAGCTACATAAATAACAACAATGTCTACCCTATCCCTCCAGCTCTGATTTAACTCTTTGAGATTGACTTGTATGCTTTGTTTAATTACAGTTCTTCTTTTCTCTCTGCTCTACAACTGCTTGGGAAAGGTTTATGTGTCTTTGAATAAAACTCTCCAGAGAGGCAGACCCAAACTAGTGCTTTTTCCCCAGTTGGCATGATCTTACAGCACTTACAATGTGCTTCACCAAAGCATCACTTGCAGTTTTATGTACAGCAAAGACAATCTTGGATCACCAGTGAAACGGTCGCTTTTTAGATGAAGCAAATTGGAATAAAGTCGATAGAAACAGAAAAGAAATGCTTAAAAAGAGAGGGCTGCAGTGACAACAGGCAGTGCTGATAGATACTGAACTCAATCATAGCTAAGGCCTTTCCATCCTTCTTTACATTGATGATGCTGAAAACTGATGACTGCTCCAAGAGCTCAGATTTAGTGGCGATTATACAGCTACACAGGAGGGGTGTTAAAATAGTTATTGAGAGAACACACAGAATAAAAGTGTGCAAACTCACCTTCCCAGCCGCGTCATGTCGTTCATGGCAGTGCTAGACAGAGGTGGGTAAGCTGTGGATTAATGATTTGCTTTTTTTCCACCCCTCTCACATAAATGCAATAAATCTGTGAAAGAAAAACCCTGTGCTCACATACAAAAGCTAACACAAATGTGCTCACCACGGGGAGGCTGGAAGGGAAACAGTAGTTTGGCCAAACAATTCATCTTTATGATATTGGTTCTGTCAAAGCAGCATAAATGAAAGAAAAGCCCTTTGAGTCCAAGTACCAAAGTGCTGCCTCCATTTGATACAATGAGCATGCTTTTTCGGGAAGCATGGAAGCCTGGGAGCCACCTGCTTCCCAGACTCCTGGCGGGTCAGCTCCCGGGCTCGGATGGAACTGTTCAAACGGCGGTGGCCTGAAAAATACGGCAGCCCTTTGCTTTTGCTAACCAATTGCACAGCAGGATATGAGTCAGGATGAAAGGTGAGGCGTGTCCTGATTGCTCCGGGTTACTCAGGTGTTCAAGGACACGAGCTGCCTTAGAGAAGCGTGTGCGAGCAGCACACACTGGGTTTTTGTATGGTACTGATGCTATTTTCTCCAGCTTGGACTCTTGCCTCTCTCCTTGCATTGTCTGCTTTGCTGCAGATGGAGGTTCAGCTGAATTCCCAAGCAAGCCACAGCTCCAGGGGTTGCTGCAGGACACACCGTGCATTCACCCCTCGGAGAAGGAGCCGGCAGGCTGCTGCCTGCCTTCGGCGCCACTGCACACCCAGATGAAATGGCCATTAGATACGGCCGGCTGGCTGCTGAGCCTGTGCCCAGAAACAGAAGCAATGGCTGTCCTCTGCCCCTCCAGACCCTCACCCTGAGCTGTGCTGCGTCCCAGGTACATCCAGAGAGGGATCCCGCTGGGAACAAGGTCTGGGTGAAGACAGGAGCCTTCTCCAGCACGGGGGCACCCTACAGACCCCGCGTGCTCCTGATTGAGCTGAAGGCTCAGTGCTGATGAGAGGAACATTCTCTTTCATGGAATTTCTAGCAAATTCCATAAGCCCTGCCCCAGCTTTGCCCCCAGGGTCATTTCCAAGCACAGGCTCTCTTGCTGTCACTGCCTTGGTCTGGATTTTTGGCCCACATGCTTTCCTCCTAAGCCCTTCCTGCAACCTCATGTGCTGGCATTTGCCCAGACTTCTCCGTGGCAGTGACGGAGTTGCCTGAGCAACGTTTCTCCCTCTGTCTCTGCTCTCACACCGTCCCTGCAGCAGGGCAGGATAACCCATTGCAACCCCCCCAGCCACGCTGGCCGCCATCAGTACTCTGCTGTAATCTCATTTGCCTGGCCAGCTCCAGAGCGAAGGCAGCAGAGGCACCCCATGGATCAGACACCTCTCCTGCCACGGGCTCTCACGCCAGTCTCCTCATGGCCTTTGCTGGAGCTTGGTGGCCCTCCAGTTTCCTTCAAAGACATGCTGGGAGTGATGGTGCTGCTGCGTGTCTCACACCTCCCCAGGCAGGGGGTCAGGTTGTGGGATGGATACCATCCACTCAGCTTCCACTCACCAACCTCTCCTGTGTCCCACTTCCACCTCCCACCAGCACCTTCTGTCCTATCTCATTGCCTGCTTTCTCCTTACTGCACAGCTAATCCACCCATCCTTCTCCATTCCCCTGTATTCTCCCTTTTACCATATTCTTTTCCTCCCAGCTCAATAGCTTTTGTGCTTAACCCTCAGACCAGCCTGGCTCTCTTCCCACTCCTCTCATTTCCACTTAATCAGCTCCTCCTCAGTTGAGGTGACCCCCGTGTCCTCCTGGCCAGGTCTTTCTACCAGTATAACATGTTTCCTTCTTTTTGTCCCCTCTCTTTGGGGTTCAGAAACTGGTTTTGTGAGCTTCAGGCTACTGGTTTCTTTGGCTCATTTACTCATTTTCTCCTGTCTTTTAAAATTCATACTGTTAATAGCCGTTCTGTCACTTCGCATTCAAAAGTAGGTTAACCTGTGCTAGAATCAAAACCACACTTTCTATTGAAGGAAAAACCAGGAAAGCTCTGTTTCTTATTAAGCACACACACACAAAAAATTGTTCTCAACCCATTATAAAATGGCAAAAAAGGGAACAGTCCTTTTAGCTGAAGTAATCAGAAGGTGCAAAAATGGATGCAAAAATAAAAGGAAGGATGCTAAAAACTGAAATTGAGGGATCTCATTACAAAGTTGTTGGACAGTGCAGTGTCTACCTGCTGGACAAGCAAAAGGCGTCTTGAGATTAAGCTCTTGGACTAACCAGGGGAAGATAAAATCTTGTCATGATGAAAAATATTGGGTGCTATCAATAGCATATAATGGACTGAAAGGAAGGGTGAGAAGCTGCATTGATTTTGTGCCTGGCCTTGCTTTTATCAAAGTCCATAACCAAACCCCAGTCAAAATCAATAGCAAAAATGGTTGTGAAACCGCAAGACAGCTTCGATCAAATTGCATTTCTGTGGATTTGAGTTTCAGTTTGAGGTCACTCAAACTGCATTTCTTGACCTTTTTCAGTTCAACCTTGCTAAAAAAAATATCTGGGAGCCCCTTTATGCCATGATCCTCCAATGTTTATGTTTCCAGAGAAATTTAAAAAGAAGGAAAGCCAAGGTAAACTTTGAATAATCATTTATTACTTCATTTACCACTCCTGTTCGTTTAACTGTGTGCCTGATGATATACGTGGCTCTTTTGCAATCTCTTCCCTGCCTCTGCAGCCCAGCAGCACTGCCCATGTCATGGGTGGAGGAGCCCCACGTAAGAGCACTGTGAGTCAGGTGACAAGTTATTTGCTCAGGTATTATTCCCATTGCCAAGAGAAATACTCTACCCCTGTGTAGGTGTGGGCCTCATCACCTCCTTTGTGGACATACCAGGAAACAGATGGCCTGTGACGTGAAGAAAGAATACGACATTTGCAAGTGAAGAAAGACTACGGCATTTGCAATAAGGGTCCGGGATGTGACAGCCCTTCTCTCACTAATAAAGTATTTGGGGCTTTATGATTGGTGGTTTTGATGAAGATACATAGTAAAGTATTCACAGGAAATATTTCTGACTTTTTTTCCCCCCAAAGTATTCAAGCAGCTTTTCCCAGGATGGTCTTTGTTGATGAATGTGTCAATGAAACACGTTGCTTGGGTGCTTCAAGGGGGACAAGTGTCAGCTCCCAGAGGCTTGGAGGTGTCATTGGTAGCCTGTAGCAAGTCAGCCTGGGATTTGGAAGAGGAGCTGCAGTAACCCTTCAGCTGTCGGATACCTCTGTCCTCCATAGAGCCAATACAGGAAGGCAGTTACCCTCAGTACACCATCCAGCTCCCCCCATTCCCTGAACACGTTATCAGCAGTTCCCATGCCAAAAGCCAAGATAAGAGGTTATTCCCCATTCATCACATGGCCAAGGTCATTATCCAGGTTTAAAGACCTAGTTGAAAGGATTTTCACTGCAGGTTACACTGAGCCATGTCTCAAAGTCACCAGCTTTTGGAAAGACCCTTCAGCAGGTAATTTTCGGTCAGGTCTTTCCTTCTGTTGGTTTCTCTAGTCTGGAAGGGAAAACAGTGCTGTAAAGTATCAACATCAGCCAAACACTGAATAACAGCCTCATCCAGTTGATAGCAGTAAAGGTGAGAGGCCTGATGGTGAAGTGTAGAAGTGGAAATGTAGAAACTCTGAGTCACCCTCTTTTGTCCCACTCACCAAAAAGAAATTAAATCTGTGGTGGTTTCTTCCATCTCCAAATGTTTCTCTGTGAACCAAAATAAAGCATTTTGTTTCCATGCTTGGGTGAAAAGGAAAAGAAAGGGAAGGCTAGTTTCATATCACAGAGGTGCTTTCAGTTGTATCTACCAAGCAGCTCAGAGCTTCATAAAGAGCTATTACTTCTGCTGCCCTCTTTGCCTCAGAGGATTAGAACTGCTCGTAAAAATGCCCAGAGTCCTGCATATTTTAGGACACAAAGGGAACTTCCCCTAATCTCACCTTGTAGAAATAACCATACAGCAGTGGGAACTGATACCCTCAAGACCCATTTGCTATAATCTCCACGAGGAGCTAAATAGCCTTATGTCACTCTTTGCTCTCTGGATCAAAAGACTGGGAACTAGGATGGATGCTTTCTGCACCAAAATGATTGCTTTTTGTGAAGTTGTTGCTTGGCCAAGAAGCATCATTTCTCTGTAGAGAATGCACTTCTTTGCCTCTGTCTGGCAGGCACCCTGAGGCAGCAGGACAGTGAGAATAGAGGAGGACAAAGTAAATGGCACTCGTGTTTTCTGCGGTGCCTACATTGCCTCTACTACAGTTAGGGATCCAGGGCAGAATGGGAAAGATTGAGTGTTTTTCTGTCCAAATAAAGAGGGAGATCTGTTTCTACCATAACCCAAAATGTGAACTTTTAACATTAAAAACCAAACTAATCAAGAGGCACATCTTCATGGCCAGCACTGCAGGACTATGCCTGAAGCCAATTCTGTGCCTTCCCTCCAAGTCCTCCTCAAGCTGGTGCAGCTGCCCTATGGGGACACCTCGTGGTTCCAGGGGCACCTTTGGTTTGGGTGCTGGTGGCTGCCTTCAGGGAAACACCACTTTGTCATTACACTATGATCTGGGTAAAATACTGTAATTACCAGTGTGCCAGCTGGGAGATGAAATGTGAGGCCAAATTTGGAGGTGGAAGCTAAAGGAGAGAAGTCTAATCCATTATTTTTGTCAAATACACACTCTTCTAATGATCCTTTTAGCATCTGGTGCCCATTTCAGACAAAACCCAAGATGTTGCATGAGAGATTCGGTTTCACTGAGTATTGATCACTTTTAGATCAAACCAGTAGATTGAGGAACAATGACAGCCAGCAGATTGAGGAAGACACTGTAGTGACAGGACAAGGGGTAACGGGTTAAAACTTAAACAGGGGAAGTTTAGATTGGATATAAGGAGGAAGTTCTTTCCTGTTAGGGTGGTGAGGCACTGGAATGGGTTGCCCAGGGAAGTTGTGAATGCTCCATCCCTGGCAGTGTTCAAGGCCAGGCTGGACAGAGCCTTGGGTGGCATGGTTTAGTGTGAGGTGTCCCTGCCCATGGCAGGGGGGTTGGAACTGGATGATCTTCAGGTCCTTTCCAACCCTAACTGTTCTATGAGTCTATGTCTAGACATTTTTCCTCCCCTGGAGCAGTGCCTGCCATCTGCTCGTGATGAAGGCTGGTCTGTAACACAGAAAGGTCCTCTCCTAACTCAGACTCTTGTTTTCTGGTGATGGAAGCAGCGACAGGAGCCATGTTCCACGGTGATGTCCTGTCTCTGTAAAATACTTGATAGCCACGGCTCAAGTGTTTGTTGCTGGCTTGCTGTGGGTAGGAGTTTGACAGCATCAGGGTGAAGACCTGTGAAAGACTCACTATTGCCATGCTGAGTATGAAGAAAGGGCTGGGGTGAGCTACAGGAAAGAAAACCTGGTTATTTTTTATACTGGAGAAGGGTGACATACTATTAATTTCTGGTGCATTTGTCATGCTGGTCTCCTTGTGCAAAGCCCATCTGTCCAAACCCTTCTCGCTGCTTTCTTTAGTATGAGAGACTGATCATCTTGAACCATGCATTGGTTTAGTGAGATGTCTGTGATCCCTGCACAAAACCCCTTTAACTGCAAAGCCTTCACAGGCATTCTTCTCATGGACATAACATTGCATTATCAAGTTAGGTGCAGTGTGAGGCTCCTTACTGGCTTCACAGAGGACAGACAGATCCAAGGCAGATCCCATGTGTTTGATGAACATTGGTCTGAGTCAACTAGAAATGCAGTCTGTGGTTGCCCAAGGGGATTGTCATGCTCATAAACTAATCTTCTTTTGATGGGAACCAGAGCAGTCCATCCACACTGCAGCTGATCTGTTGTACACATCAAGAGCATCATCGCTAGCTGAGGAGGTGGCACAGGTAGGTGACATATATGTAAACTCAGCCTTTGCAGAAGAGGCCACTTCCCCTCTCTCTGACCTTAAGGACTTTCTGTTCCTGTTGTTCCTTCCCTCAAAGATTTGCATTTACATTTTTATTAAGCCAAGTTATTTATTTGGAAGAAAAGCCAAAAGATTTCTTCTTTCTGTGAAGGGCCGTGTGCCAAACAGTCTGAATTCCCAACACACGTCAGCGGGTATAATGAAAGACGTTCCTCCCTGCAGATTTTCCTTCCCTATAGTCTTAGATACTGCCTGGATACCCAGACATCCAAATAGAAAAACAGCAACTATTTTTGCTATTGTTTACTTTGGATCTTACGCATCTTTGTAATGCATGAATAATGTAACCGAGTGCTTCTACAGGAACATCCAGAAACAACCCTCAAACCAAGGTGACCAGGTGGCCTCATGGCAAGAAAGGCTCAAAGAGGCAAAAGCAGTGTGTGACAGGACTATGTATGTACCCTCCCAGGTCATAACAGACTGAGGGCAAGCAGCTCATGCCTTTCTTGTTTAGCAAAGATGACCTCCAGCAGATACCCAGTGAAGGGAATAGGACAAGGGGCTTCTCTGCACGCTGAGCCTCTCCACTTTCATATGCTATCCTTGCATTTATACACTTCCTTTCACCATGGCCATGACAGCAGGACAGGTCTGCACTGCTTTTGGTGCCAAGACGAGTTGGCAACACAGCCACATCAGTGCGTCACCACTGTGGAGACAGCAGCTATCTCACCATGACTGGATCATTGGGCTCCTCATTCCCTACACACCCCAGTGCAGGAGGCACCACCTGCCTGACCTCTATCTGTAGGTGTTCTTCCATTCTCCTCCTGGTTTGTTCCTAGAAACTCTTCAAGCAAATTGGCTTTTCAACTTCCACCATTAACCACATTCTTTTGTGGTAGAGGTAGAGAATGCGGGAACCTGGAGGTCAACTGCATGGTGCAGCTGAAGCCCACAGATTTCAAGTCTTTATCATGTTCATAGAATCTTAGAATCCCAGAATGGTTTGGGTTGGAAGGGACCTTAAAGCTCATCCAGTTCCAACCCCCTGCCATGGGCAGGGACACCTTTCACTAGACCAGGTTGCTCAAAGCATTGTCCAAGCTGGCCCTGAACATTGCCAGGGATTTGCATCACTGTCTTCATGCACATTCAAATGGAGAGACACATGCACCATGTCAGTGCAGATACACAGCTGGAAGTCACAAGGCTCCTTTCCCTACACATCCCATGCCTTGCATTCCTCTAGGGCCCCTTGCAGCCCTGTGAAATTGCCACAAGTTGCCAGCAAGCTCAGAAACCTCCATGGGATTAGCAGAGGACATGATTTCTTCTGATCTATTGCTCAGCAGCTGGAAGGAGGGAGACTAAAGAGGGACAGAGGAACAAGAGGGGCAGGAGTCAAGAAGTGGGGCTGACCCCACTTTCCCACATGAGAATGTTGCACCTGAGAAAGTGGAGGAAATGTGGAAGGGCCCAGATCCAAGCACGTTGGCCAAAACAACATCGTTCAAGTGGCAAAGCCCTCAAGATGACCCAAAAGCAGGGAGTGAGGAGTGACACCACCCAGGTGAGTCTTGGGATAGCAGCAAGGATCTTGGGGAGAGAAATTTGGTCTTTGTTGACCCAGATAACTCCATTGGTGAATAATGCAGAAGACCTGAGTGCCTGACCCACACATGTGGTAAACAGTATAGAACCAGAGCCAGGAGAGTGTGGGGTGACTGACAGACAGACAGACAGCATCTGCTGTTAAAGAAAACAAAGCTCTGAGAGCGAGACCTTGGGAATCTGATTAAGAGCAAAAGGATGGAAGGCTGGGATGGGGAAGAAAAAAGCTTTGGAAAAACCATCCTGATGTGCTGGTTTCTATTTTTCCAAGCAGAGAAGCTGAACATGAGCAAAGTGTGTTGACTTCTACCACTATTTGCAGGTAAATAGGTGCTT